CATGGAAAGCTTCCTGATAATCACAGGCACATTCCCCATCACTTCCCCATGGGCTTCATTAAAAGACGGGTTGCCATTTGAAAACACACACCGACCTGTGATTAACAGCTCTCACCTGCGCCAAGCGCGTGCCGGCCAGGTGGTGCCACGTGGGGCCAGCAGCGTGCCGGCGGTGGTCTTCCGGGTGGCGCAGCGGCGGCGGCGGGTCTTCCCGGGCAGTGGGGGTGAGCAGTCTGTCTCTCTGTGCTCTCCATGGCCGGCAGGTTAAAGGCCGCAGCTCATTCTCCTCCTCACGCCTCCCCCTCCTCCGCACGCCTCCCCCTGAGCAGCACAGCTCTCACCTGCGCCGGAGGGATGGGGGGCAGAGCAGCACGGGCCGAGCGTGTGCCGGCCAGGTGGTGCCACGTGGTGCAGGCGGCCAGCAGTGTCCCGGGCGTCGGGCACACACACATTCACTCTATAAGACGCACAGACATTTCCCCTTACTTTTGAGGGGGAAAAAACTGCGTCTTATAGAGCAAAAAATACGGTAAGTGTTCAAGAAGAAAGAATATCAACAATATTCTTTGATACATAATTAGTGGTTCACTGAGGTCTTCAATTTTGGCTTAGTATATGCAGGCAGTTAAAATGCACCTGAATCTTATTTTTCTGAAGGAAAGGAAAGAAAGATTTTGAAAATAACACTGGGAAATTCTGATAAGATCCATTTTCATTTTAAATGTACTTTGCTTGGAAATGTGACTGCATAAATGCTATATGAGATAAGGGAGAAAAATTAACCTATAATTGGAATTCATCATTGTTATGATTTGAGTCAAATCATCTGAACCAGTCACCTAATTCTTTTTCTTTAGTCTTTTCCTGAATGTGCTTGAATTGATGTTGGCACCTCAGACTTGTGGTACATAAGAAAAGTCATTGAAAGTAATAAAGGGAAATGGCTTGTCAGAGTAAAACACATTTTTCTCCATCAATTCTTATTTTGTTGCCTCAGATTTTTCTGTTCTCGCTTCTTGCCCTGCTCCCTACATGAATTCTGCTTAGTGGGAGTCAGCAGTGATGAAACCTGGTACCATTTTAATGAAGAAAAAACCACCAAGCCAGAAGCCCTTCTCATAAGACTATCTTAAGACAAAGACTTGGAATGGCCACCATGTAATCCAACCACTTGTTAGATATCGCCCTCCCACCACCACCATTTGTCTTCCTCCACCAAGACGTCCCACTCCCATCCCAAATCATGGGCAAGTGGACTTTTTCCAGTATCTCTAGTACACAGGAATATAGAAACACAGCAAGTCCGAAGGGGCCTCCCAGGCCATCCCGTCTGATCCCTGGATCCAGCTGGCTCCACTCTTGACATGACCACCACGTACCTTCTCTGTTAACCTGTCTCCTTTGCAGATATTATGGTAGCACAGGGGACTATAGGAGTAGGCGCTGCTGCAGTTGCGGGTTTAAGGGAAGCAGTGGGGTCTTTGGGAGGGTTGACAGACCAATTAGGATCGGTCCCCAGTGCACTCCATAGGCCATCCTAATGGTGCCTGAAGCAGGATCCCAGTGTGGTTTCAGAGACACTTGAATTTTTAAAATGCTCCCCACCCCCTGCTGGAAGATGGCCTCTGTGTTCCACCTGTTCACATATGAAGAACAGCCTCAGCTGACTGCATCATAGGAGGCGGCTGTATGTCTTTCCATTGTTGCAATATCTGCCTTTCAGCCATCAAAAGGGCACTGATTATCCAATTATGCTGACCATTTGTTAATTTCCGTGGAGCAGGTAAACTTAAGAGTATGCCCATCAGCAAATAGCAAAGATATATTTCAATATTTGTGAAATAACCTTTCTCCAATGAAGCAAACGCTGGACATGGTCACAACCTACATATGCTTGAAAGAAGCATTAGCTGTATTGCACCACCAACAATTAGGAAATAGTCCTAGAGTTCCCAACAGGCTGAGACATGCTGGGAGTTGTAGAACATTTTTTGTCTAAATATGGCTAGCATTGCACCCTAAGTCTCTTGTTTTTTTCAGTGTTCTTCCAGTTACATTTCTGTATTTGCTTTGCAACTGTTCAAACTGCCCACAGAATTAACATACATTTTCAGTTGTGTATGTTATTTTCATTAATATCGTGTTTTCCCGAAAATAAGACACTGTCTTATCTTTTTTTTTTGGCTCCCAAAAACACTCTAGGTCTTATTTTCGGGATAGGTCTTATTTTCAGGGAAACCCGGTAATCCACTTGCCATTTTTAGACCAATCAGAGATCCAACTTCTTCTCTTTGCAGTAAGCTGTAAGATTCTTGCCACACAAGTCCTCTACGATTCTTTTCTTGTACTCAACGGAATAGCTCTCTCTTTTTGAACTCAGCTTGTCTGGGGGTCAAAATAATATTCTGTTTAAATCTACCATTAAATACGGTACCATGTCATAATACTGGAAGGGTAGAAGACTTACAAGACAGGAGTGAATGGCAGAGTTAAGAATAGGATGATCAGGGCAATCAGGGGTGCTGTACCTTCCCAAGAGCAATTTGGTAACCAATCTCTGGCCAGAATGAGCAAAGCGCGCTTTCACGATGGACTCCACACAGGCGGAGTGCATTTGGTATCATTCTGCCTGTGGCAGGAGCTGGCGCTATAGAGGAAGCATCGGCTTATGTGGCTCTGCTCCCTCCACACAGTGCATCAAGTTTTAAAGTTAAGTTAAAAATAAAGTTTAAAAAGGCTCTTTATGTTCCCCACTGGCCCTGGGAATAAACACAGCTAGGTCTTATTTTCGGGGTAGGTCTTATTTTGGGGGAAAAACAGTATATGTTGCCTAATACACGCATTTTTGCATCTCTCTGGAGAAGTGCATCACAAATTTCAGAGAAGTGCAAATATTTAAGATAAGAGAAAGAAAAGTAAGGGAAGAGGGAGGGAGTGTGGATAGTAGTTTGCTTTGTATATTGCCTTCCCTTTTCTCCTAATCATAAAATATATTATTTTCAATATTAACTTTATTCTCTTCATTTAACAGTTTAAAAAATCTTTTGGTATCTGAAATGAATATTCCTCTATTAGATGGTTAAAGAAGCACATAATCAAAATTTCATTTAATACCATTTGTGTCATATAGGACGAGGCATAAATCACCCAGACCTTTTGAAGGATCGACGGGGGTGGGGGGATCTCTCTGATAGCTCTAGTACTCAGCAAACTGTTTTTTCCTCATGGCTTATCCCACCTGCCCTGCAAAACATATGCAAAACATTTTAAGCCCACTAAAGCTATTATAAAAATAACTGTTCTGGCACAAAAGCAAGATTGCACACTACTACGGAGAAGCTAATGTTATTATCGCCGTTATTTTCATTTCCACCAAAGGAATTATAGTTTCGTTTGAAGAATAAAGCCCATTTTTATTGCTACTGTCATATTAAGGTGGTTGACCAAATTTTGCTGTGCAATACACTTGAACCATCAGTGCTTTCACTTATTCTGTAGGGAGGATAATCATTGGCCAAGTGCGACTTTGTTATCCTTGCTGTATACTTGTACATATTTGTATTCACACGCTATCTCAGTAATGCTTAAAATAACACTGTAGGTGTTGCACTAACATTCCTGTGTTATAAAAATATAAGAGCCCTTCTGCATCACACCATCACTATCTACTCCAGTACCACAGTTCCTACAGTGGCCAAATAGACATTTATGGGAAAGCCAGAAAGAGAACATTTTCTGCTGTTTTCCATCATCCGGATTTATGCTGCCTCAATCCTGAAGGTTGCATATAGTCATCGTATGTTACTTTGAGTAGGGATTTGTCAAAGGATACCTAGTGAACTGATGATCGAAGCAGGATTTGAATAGGTGATTTCACAGACTTAGCCAATACACTTGTGAATGGAATCACCATGGCTCACTGCCTGCTTAGTGACTTTTTGCCTTGTAAGACTAACAAAGTAAAACTTACTAGATTTTTAGGAGATGGGGTATGGATCATGTTATAAACTGGGGCTGCAAGAAAGTAGAGTTCAAAGTTATTTCTGCCAGACATCCCTACATTGGCCACTGCAACAAACACTGACGGAGGTTTCCCATGCTAGTACTGTGTCTCAGGTCTCTGAAGAAAGGTCCAAGAAGGGATTTACTTTGCTAGTGAGTGCTAGGATGGCCTCCTGATGTGACATGTTCAGTTGAAAGTCATGCCCAACTCTCCACGAGCCATGGACAATATTCCTCCAGGCTTTCCTGTCCTCCACTATTCCCCGGAATACACCCAAGCCCACACCCACCTCTCCATTGACCCCATCCAGCCACCTCAACCTCTGTTGTCCCCTTCTCCTTTTGCCTTCAATCGTTCCCAGAAGCAGGGTCTTTTCCAATGAGTCATTCCTTCTTATTTGGTAGACAAAGTATTTGAGCTTTGGCTTTAGTACCTGACCTTCTAAAGAGCGGTCAGGGCTGATTTCCTTTAGGATAGACTGATTTGATCGCTTTGCAGTTCCGGGGACTCTCAGGAGTCTTCTCCAGCACCACAATTCAGATTGTGCACTCTTTTCTGAATAGGTTTTAACCCTATTCTGAAAAACCTTGGTTCAGTTTTTACCCTATTCTGAAAAACAGATTCTGTGTAGATTTCTGTAGAAGGTATTTGTCGAGAAAACTGTAGTGGGAAATACTGAAGAGGTGCTGTGTCAAGATGGATGCATAACTCTGGCTATAGCTCTTTCATGTAACATAATTGAGCATAATCCTGCATTTCTTTTGCAGGTTCCATGGGCTGTCTGCCATCCAAAGGGATCCTAATGGATGACTTTTGCATTTATTAAATCCCAGAACAATGTGACTGACAAGAGGTTGAAGTGATTTGTAAGGGACTTTTGCGTTGGTGTGTTTGGACCTTGGATCTCCTTAAGAGAGGCATGCTGAGCAGCTAACGTAGCTGGAGAAGATTTGTCTTTGAGCTGGGCCGTGGAAGAACTGGCCCTTGCAATCTGAAGATGAGTATACCACTGGTTCCAAACAAGTCGTGCTACAATTTATTGCAGGGCAACAGAAACGAGATGAAGAATAACAACGAACACCTGATGACTGTTGGAGACACAAACGCCAACCAAATAACATCTGAGGTTAGAGGGGACATAAGGACCAATGATTTGTCAGGGGAACCTAGATGTCTGAACACTGGTGGGCCAGAAAGTATCAAGCAATTAAATTCAGAGAGGAACAGACTTCAGGGTACTACTGGTCTATCGGAGTTTAGGCTGCCTTCTACCACCAGCAGGGAATCATATAAGGATTACAGGACTGATGGGATTAAGGACACTTCAAGGCTACTCCCTATTAGCCGGGGCCACAGTCTGTCCAATCTGAGGGTTAATACAAATGATACCTTTTCAGTGGTTCTTTCAAAAAGCGACGCTGATCTCATTCAGCATGTTTCAAAGGATAAAACACCTCGAAGGATTGAACCAGAAGGGATCAAACGCCTTTCCTTGGGGAGATCACGGAAACTTATGTCTAAAACAGAAGGCTTTGGAAAAGAATTTGTAGGCCGTGTATCAGGTAAGCGCTTGCTTTCCGCATCCTTGGATTCCATCGATACCTCACACCATTTGCTTGGGGAAAATGAGAAATCTCCGAAAACATCCACAGACCATTTTTTGGGCATGGTGTTTCAGCCAGCTGATAGCTCCTCAGAGAGAAATATTGTGTGTTATTCTAAACATTCATCTACCTCAGAAACTAACAAAATAAATGTTCCAGTGAAACAGCCAGGTGTGGACAGTGTCCCAAACCTCCATGATCGGAGCTCTCCACACCCTGCTCCTGTTAAATCCAATGAAGTGTGTAGATCAGAAGCACAATTAGAACATCAGGGCGATAAGAGAGGAAAGGCAGAGTCCAGAAGCCCTCTGTCGTCACAGCGCAGAAGTGTGTGTCAGCAAAAAAATGACAGGGTTATGCTGGTTGACTCTCTTGGAGGTCACACAGAGGAAAATAATATTGCAGTGCAGAATAAAAAGAATTATGGGCCTGAAGTACATAGAGCAAAGTCACCCCAGTTGCAGGAGCCAGGTAACAAAGGAAAAGATCCACATTTAAATGAGGGGTTGGACTCTTTCAGTAACAGACCAGTAAGTAGCAGTAATTTTGCAGGTTTTGGAAGAGGAAGCAGTCCTAGTGACAACAGGGCAAAATCACAAGTAAATGAGGAAGGTATGGCTGGAGAACAGAATGATTTTGTACTGTCTGCTGCTGACGAATGTAGTAGCCAGCTGACACCTACAAGGAGCAAAAACCAACTCAGTGCTGATGTAAGTTGCATCCAAGCAGCCGGTGAACACATGCCTCTTGGTCATCACACTGAATCGCCAGACAGCAAAGATTTGCACAGTCCTGAAAGTAAACAGCTGCTCGTAAAAGGCCATGGTGAAAATGCTGCATTGCTCACCTCAGATCATCTGGAACATCCAAAAGCACTTGGTGCAGAAAATGAGCTGGATGATCACACCAGCATCCAAGAGTGTGATTTAGAGGTGACAAGGTTTTCAGTTCAAAGCAAGAAGATGGTTGTTGCAAAGAAACTGGTTGCAAGTGACACATCGGAGGGCTATAAAATATCAGGAAGAACAGAGACCTTTCTATGTGCCCCAACTCCTTTGCGCCCTGTGGCGATGGTGAACATTACCCCCACCACCACATCAAGCAGCAATCTGAAGGATCTCTATGCGTTTCAGGTTGACAAGCTGCCCTCCTCTGCAGTCCTACCTCCCATGGACAATGCACAGTTGCTAAGCCTATCCCCCAAAGTGCCTAACAAGACTGCCTGTAACAGTGGCATCCCCAAGCCTATCCTTGTACATGCCAAGGGCTCCCACCCAGCCACAGATGATGGAGAGAACAATTGCACTGAGAAGCCTGAAGACAAGACCGAAACGAAACTGGACATCCCCAAGCCCAAACATGTCAGGCCAAAAATAATCACGTACATCAGAAGAAACCCCCAGACGATAAGCCAGCTTGACCACACCTTTGCCCCAGCTGGATTACCCTACGTCGCTCCTGCTTGCAGTGTGCCAATGGCGACGGAGCAGAAGACTTCGAACGATGGAGATATGAAGCCTAGCAGCGTGCTGTATGACAAGTTGAAACCTGACTTACAGAAACCTCGCATTTACAGCTCTGGACTTGTGGTGTCCGGCATTAAATCCTCGGCTCATCATTTTGGTCCAATGGGCGAGAAGTTTCTTCAGGAGGTAAGAAATATATAATTATCCCACGGGCTCTTGCTGCATAGCAGAAAAGTGCATGGATGCATGGGGTGGTGCACGTCCTCTCAGGGAGTCTGGCTAACTCAGGATGCTTTGACACAGCATAGGACATCCTTTCCCAGCTTGCCAATGTTTTGGATGGCTACTGGCTGATGCAGGACCAGTGTGATGGACTGGTTGGTGTGTTGGACTGGGGCTCAAGAGTTCAGGTTCTACTCTTCCCTCAGCCACGAAGCATATGGGGTGACTTTGGACCAGTCACTGACTCTCAGCCCAACCTATCTCACAGGGTGGTTGTGAGGATAAAATGGAAAGGAGAAGCACCATGTAAGGCATCCTGGATTCCATGCATGAGGTGGGAAAAGGCAGGGTATAATGTAATAATAATAATGCTCAGGTTCCTTATTTTTGACCATGCTTGGGAGTTAATATCCAAAACAGCTGGATGGCACCATGTTTGGAATGTCTGTCAGTTATATTGACACTGGATGCAGGACAAGCGATGCAAAGGGAACCCTGAGAATGCATATTCCAAGATGTATGTTTCGCTTCCTGTGTCTTGTTTCCTTGAGGAAAACAATGGCAATATTCTGGCCTATTCCAGTGGTTATCTATTTTACCACTCATGCAAAGGGTGCTGGGAAGTGGTTCCACAGCAGTACTGGAAATGCTGGAGGAGAGAATCTGTATTCACAAATGAGTTACAGTCACACACCCCAAAGACTGCCTCCCTCACCTAGTTTCTTCTGTGCTCGCTCTACTGGCTCCCAATTTGGTTCCAGGCTGTATTCCAGAACTGGCATTAGCAGTCCAGGCACCCATTGGGTGAGAGTCCTCATGACCCCCTCCCACAAGCCCTCTGCAGGCTGAACGACATGTAAAAGTCCTGCCCAGATCACCAATATTTTATTTTATTTTATTTATTTATTTAGAAAATTTCTATGCTGCCCCATTCGCCGAAGCCTCAGGGCGGCTCACAAACATAAATAACTTCAATTAAAATAATGTAAATTAACAGTATAAATTAAGTCGTCCTGGCCAAAGAATAAAATAAATAAATACTATATATCAGGGACAGAGTCATGTTCCCTGGTGTAAAGGGGGAGAGGGCATGTTGTTTGATTCCTCGTGGGTATCCCACCTAGTGCATCTTCCCAAGCACAGGAAGGCTGTTTCGTTTGATCAGCACCTTCACCCAGGAATGTGTGAGGAAGCCAGATGGGGAGTGGGAATCTGTCAGATTTCCTCAGCTCAGCTCCCTGGACTCCAGCCCACTTTCTCTGCCCTGATTCCACCTTGTGCTGAGCATTTGCATGAGCATCTGGCCAGCCACCTGTGAACTCACTACGCAAGTGGACTTCTGCATGCACACACCTGATTTGAGGGTGTGGCTATGTTGCAGAAGAATAATTCAGAAGTGACCCCAAGTGTTTGTGGGCTTGATCTCAGCAAGGCTTGCTTCCTTGCTTCATGGAAAAGAAGCCCAGGGAATGCAAAAGAGATGGACTCCAGCCAGATCTTTGCATCCCTGTCACTGGAAAAGATATATGGGACCTGGCAAAGCTGTGTAGAACTTCTTCACTCGTAGTTCAGTCTTCAGCATGGGGACACTGAAGGATGAGCAAGGCTTGCTCGCCACCACTTTGGTGGATGAACCACTTCCGAAATCTCCTTGTTATCTCTGACTTCCCTGCCTGCTCCCAAAGCCCCCGTGGCCTCCAGGTTGTGTGGTGAACCAATCTCCAGTTTGGTTGGGGAGGGGCCTGCAAAGGGACCTCACACCTCTGCAGGCTAGATGAGGGTCATGGCCGAAGGTGCCCTCCCCTGCTTTAAAAGCCTAAATGGACTTGGGCCAGACTATTTCAGGAATCATTTCATCCCATGTGGGCCTGCCCTTGAACTTTACTTTCATGTTGTCTGACCAAACTAGGGGTGGATTAATCTGTCAGGCTCACTTTCACTCCATATCAATGTAAAATTCATTTCTTCCATTTTTTCACATTTATGCAGACTTAACAGGTTATTGCAAACATGATTATACATTTTCCTGTGTGTATCTAGACTGATGTCCAGCGGGTAGATTTTAATATAAAGAAAATCCTAAGATCCTAAAACCCAAGAGGACCCTCAATCATGCACTCTCCTCTTCTGCTTGGCCAATCTGTTGCTGATTGGCATCTTCTGTTTGTGTGAGCATTCAGGAATCTTTGAACTCCAGCTCATATACCTATTCCTAGGGTAGCCATGTGTCCTCTTTTACAGAGGACAGCCCTCTATTTGAATGGCTGCACAATGCACAGTGTTTTGCAGGTGTCCTCTCTCTGTAGGATGGTCTGATCCAACTCCATTTTAAAAATAGAGAACCCAGAGAACTGTTGCCCACCAGCAACCTGAGGAGCAGACAGGTACAGAACTCGCTTGGCTGCAAGCTTACACACTAGTGTCAGAGCCAGTGTAGCGTGGTGTTTGGGCTGGGAACCCTGCAGAGCTCAGCCCTGAGGCTCACTGGGTGACTCTGGGCCAGACATAAATTCTCAGGCTAATTTATTCTCACAACAACCTAACTCACAGGGTTGTTGTGAGAATAAAATGCCATGTAAGCCACCTTGAGTTCCTCACAAGAGGAAAAAAAGGAAGGATATAAATGCAGTATGCTAGTATTTAAATTATACCAAATATATGTAAATTTACATCTGCAAATCACCTAAGTTAGCATATATACATTTTATGCAATTATTCATTTGGTATATTGGTATTTTGGTCATGCCTGTTCTCTCCTTTGGGTGATTCACAAGCAGCAGTTCTATTCTCCATCTTCATTTTATCTCTTCTTCTATAGGGAAAATTCAGTTTCTTGGAAGTCAAAGAGCAGCAGCTTTAAAGGTTTTCACATGTAACTACCCAGAAAGGCAGCTGGGATCCACTGTGGCTGCTAAGTCTAGCATTCGAGCCCTCCACCCCTACTAGGAGATCCAAGGCTGTGGAGAAGCAGTAGTCTGAATGCCTCCTCTCCATATCATGGCCATCCGATACTCCTTGAACAGTGGCTGCAGCATGGCTTACGGTCATCTAGTCCACCAGACATGGCAATATTGCAGTAGGTGGCAAAGCTGCCATAGGGGAGGTATTCTATACTACTGTACCAAAGGCACACCTGTCATTTCCTCACCTCTTCATTTCCCTTCAGCAGTGGCAGCCATTCTACCTGGAGGTGAACCAGCAATCAGTGCATCTCTAAGAATTGGAAAGATGTGGCCCATGTGATCTGTCCCAGTTACTGGCGGCCTTTGCAGTACCTGCAGATTTTGAATCGCCCTCAGTGATAACCCCATGTACAACCCACTACAGTGGTGTAGTTAATCTTACATGATATCATCTATGTCTTACGGCATATAAGAATAAAGGAAACCTCTTATACAGTGTCAGAAATGTTTTTCTCACACAGGAAAGATGAGCTGGTTTTTTATTTTCTGCTAAACAATATTTTTCCCTTTAAGAAGATAAAGTCAAGGGCTGGTCAAGATTAATTCCTTACATCATGGAAAACAGTCTATATTTATATGAAACTCTTTGCTGTGCTACCTGGAAAAGAGAAAAACAAGCTTGCCTGTTGCCTTGCACAGATAAATCAGACTGATTAAAATTGTATTAATTGGGTATTTGCAGAATTCTGCTCTCCCTTTCAAAAGAATTTATTGTTGGTGCATTTGCATCTAATATAGTGGGATTATGCAGGGTACATAATCAAGTCTAGTTAAAATATGTTAATCAGAGAGAAAGCCAGGAATCCAAGTTCCTGTCCAGTAGCGATGTTTTTGTCTCTTTTTAATGGGGGAAAGAGCCTTCTGAAGTGAAATGTACTAATACTAGCCCTTCATTCTAAAGAAAAATATATGTTGCTAAAATGTAAACAAATAACATCCTGAAATGCATTCTTATGGTAACAAAGGGCCATTTCAGATTGCATATTGTTAATTTTATTTACATGCAATCAAGTTCTCAAAGGATAGAATTGGTGAAACATCTAAACATGAAGCAAAGATAGTGCAGATAGATATAAAACCCCAATGCAATGCTCAGTATGCAGTCTTGCATATTTTTCCCAATGATTGCAGGGGCAGAAAAGCACCAAATGATATTCAATCCATGCTTGGAATACTGCAGCCATAGGGATCAAAGGGTACAACTAAATGTTTAAATAGCTGAAAATGCAACGACAGGACACAATAATGTGCTTTAATTTTGCAGCAAAGTTAATTAAGCAGCCTTCTGGTAGCTTTCATATTTAGCTCCTGGCAACTGTTACAATTAATTTAAAAAATACATTTGGCTCTGCCTTCCAAGCTGTTTGGTTCAAAACAGCCCCCTCTCAAATTTCAGTAGTATGATTAAAGAAACAATGGCTGAACATGAATCTGTAGCAGAAATAGGAATTTAGGACTATCTGAACTCCATCCTACCTTGCTTATGCAGAGATAAGTTGTGAATCAGTAAATTCAGTGGTAAGAGCTTCCTTCATGGATGCCCAAGACATCTTGCTGTCTAAGGAGGAACAGTGGGAGCCTACCACATGACTCCCAAGCCCTGGTACCCAAAGATAGCCATGTTTTTTGGTACATGAGGTAGAAATTCCTGCAATTGCTTTTCTGCATCCCTGGAAGGTTAAAAAAGAAAAAAGAAATTAAATAGCCATTTTCCTCCCATGTGAAATTTCCTGCTTTAAATATTCACACTCCTGTCAGTCACTTCATAATAAAGTAAGCACAAGAACCCCTAACAGTCTTCTGAATCAGAATTCTCCAAAAAATCTCTCCTGCTTTGAACTTGTTTTCAAAAGCAACTTTTTATCAAATTAAATGAAAATGGTTTAAACATGTGGGAAAGGCGAGTTTTGCTTTTGTTTTGTTTGGCAACACTGGTTTGGATTTCAGAGTATTTCTCAAAGTAAGATTTCTTGCATTCATGTTTGCATTAGGTTGGGGAAAGGCCTGTGAAAGAAGAATTTTGTCCTCCACCATATACTCACTATGAGGTGCCTCCAAGCTTTTACCGGTCTGCAATGATACTGAAACCCCAGTTAGGACTGGGTGCAGTTTCCAGGTTACCGTCTGCAAAAAGCAGGATTTTGATTGCAAGTCAAAGGTCCTCAGCAAGCTGCATCCATCCACAAGGATCAATTACCAGTTCTCCTGCACTTTTCCATCCTGATGCTCCTGGTAAGCAATTATACTGACTATTTTTTCTTCCAAAAAAGAGGCCACCAACAATAATTTGTTCTCACAACAATCTAATCGCAGCTTATTGGGACTGTGATCCTGTATCCACATGTGTCCCATCAACCCTAACTTGCATGACCTTGGGCCATACCACCTAGGATGGTGGGATTTATAGTCTATCACTTATGGAAGTAGTACTTTACGGAAGGCAACTATACCACCTTACCTGAGAGTATGCCCCATTGAACACAGTGGTTCTTCCTACTGAGTAAACCTGCATAATGTTGCACCACTTGCTTGACAACTGCAATGCAGTGATTTATTCATTTGGTTAGTAGACAATGTCAATCTTGTGCATTATTTAAATAATTCATTAACACTGGGAAGTGCTCTCATCTAGCCGAAGGATTACTGTAGAGGGAACCCCTGTAATCCTGCCATCCAGAATTCATGAGGCATTCTGAGCTTTCTCTTAAATTAGCATATTTAAATATATGCCAAAATGAAAGACATTGATGAGACAAAGTAGTCCAGTGGCCTGCAATTCTGGAGTGATACACCTTACAATCAAATGCAGATTGCTTTCACCCTCAGCTAATGAAATAATCATTCCCCACTGAGTCATAAGTTTTGTATAAATGCAGGTGCTCGGACCATGCTAAATATTTATCATTTTGCTTTTGGGTGCTTTTAGGGCCCACAGAATATTGCCCAACAAATTCCAACCTCTGAGAATATTATTTTCTTTTTGCAAGTGTTAAAGGCAGTAACAGATCTAATCAGCTCATTTTCTGTCAGACAGAAGTTTCAGAGATCATAGCTCTTGTGTAGAATTCTCTGTAAAAAAGCCAGCAGGTTTTGACAAAATTAAAATATTATATTTAAATATCAATTACCTCTGTTTTCCTATTTGAAGTGTGTCCCTCCTTCCCCTATTTTTATGGTATAAAGATGTGGCCTCTTAATACAGAGGTTTCCAGAAAAGTTGCTTCTCTTGTAATTTGCCTCTCTGCAGCAACAAGCTATTTCCACCTCCGGCTTGAAGGCAGCATGTGGTTCTGAAATGGTATGCCTTAACCCAGCAGCAAACTTTCCTTAAGATGGCTAACACAGGAACATTAACTGTATTATAAACAGTTAAACAATAATTATATAAGTACTTTATTACACACATTTTCTCCCAGTTGTTTCAAGATGGTGTGGGTTAATTTCACCAGACTTAGAGCAATATCTTTTCAGGAATGACTGTTAATACCCTCAATTTTTCCAATATTTTTGGAAGAAGCATCCTATTACCATTCCTGGTATTTCACTTCTACTTCCCCTTGTGTCCACAGGGTGATTTTTAAAAAGATATATCATACTTTGCCTTTATTATTCATTCTTTTCTACTGATTCCTCTGAAGGGTTGTACACTTGCTTTTGATTGGTTACTCCTGACATGTATTGCATTAAATGCAATGCATGAAATGAGACATATGATACAGCACAATAAAATACAATATTCTATTGTACTGCTTTACTGATGGCCCCAATACGCAAATTCCTACTTTACAGTGCAATCTTACCCACAATTGCACGTTTGTACATCAGCAACATGGAACTTGGGCCCCTGTGGTGAGATCTCCCCATCCCTGCTGTAATGTCTGGGGCATTCACCATGTGAGTCATGAGAAACATCGCTCGCGTTCTCCAAAGACATGGAGCTGAGGTGAGAGAACAGGGAGCCTGGTAGCATTTTCAGTGGCGTCCCTACAATGCACCACACGCAGCTAGTTCCCTGCTCAATGTATACGTCGCCTGGTAAGATCATCCAGTGCTTAGAAAGAAATGTCTTTGGTATACAGCTGACAACTAGTCATCTCACCTGATTGCATTACTATTGCAAAAGTAACATTCTCTGGAAAAACAGGTCACTCTGTTGGTAAGGTTATGAATTGTACACATTTGCTTTATTCTGACGAGGGGCATAAACAGATATTAGCTTTTGTAAGTTATCCTGAGGCTTACTGCAAAGGATGGCACAGAAATGTTCTAATTAAATTAAAATTAAATTAAATGTATAATTTTAACAAATGATATTCTCCTGTGTGTATTTTTATGGATGGGTTTGTAATCTGAAGGTAAAGATGGGAGAATGACTGATCCAGGCTGAAATTCAATGGGCAAGTTCTTGAGCAGGCTGTCTGAACAGTGTGAGGCTGTATCAGTCTCTGGTCCAGCTAAGGCACCTTGCTTTATTATTTATTTACTACGTTTATTGTCTGGTCCCATAGCTCTTCAAGGCTTTCTGCACAGTGTACAATCCAAAATGAATACAAACAACCATGAAATTCATACAAAAAATGCAATATGATCTAACAGACAACTTTAACAGTCAGTAAAATAACCTCAGGCACAGCAGTGATAGAGGATCCTTAAAATTGTAGAAATATAAAATATACATGCAACAGTTCTTAAAGTCTTGTAAATAACAAACAGCTTTGCCTGATGGCAGAAAGATAACAATGAGGGCACCAGGCATACTTTTCTGAGGAACATTTTCCATAAATGGGATGCAACCACCAAAAAGGCCTTTCTCCCATTTGCAACCCCCTCATGACTTTGGAGGGTGGTTTCCTGAGAATGACCCCTGAACCCAATCTTAGTGGTCAGGTAGAAACATATGGGAGTAGGTGTCCCTTCAGGTATCTTGCTCTCAAGCTGATTTGGACTCTTGGTTCAGATACTTGTTGTTAGTCACGAAGTCGTGTCCAACCCATCACGACCCCATGGACAACATTCCTCCAGGCCTTCCTGTCCTCCACCATCCCCCAGAGTCCACTTAAGCTCACGCCGACTGCTTCAGTGACTCCATCTAGCCACCTCATTCTCTGCCGTCCCCTTCTTCTTTTGCCATCTATTGTTCCCAGCATCAGGCTCTTCTCCAGGGAGTCCTTCCTTCCCATTAGGTGGCCAAAGTATTTGAGTTTCATCTTCAGTATCTGGCCTTCTAAAGAACAGTCAGGGTTGATCGCCTCTAGGACTGACCAGTTTGATCACCTTGCGGTCCAAGGGACTTGCAGGAGTCTCCTCCAGCACCACAATTCAACGGCCTCTATTCTTCAGCACTCAGCCTTCCTTATGGTCCAGCTTTCACACCCATACATTGCAACTGGGAAAACTATAGCCTTGATTATACGCACTTTTGTTGACAGGGTGAAGTCTCTGCTTTTTAGTATGCTGTCTAGATTTGCCGTAGCTTTCCTCCCCAGGAGCAAGCGTCTTTTAATTTCTTGGCTGCAGTCCCCGTCTGTGGTGATCTTGGAGCCCAGGAAAATAAAATCTGTCACTACTTCCATTTCTTTCCCCTCTATTTGCCAGGAAGTGAGAGGACTGGATGCTATGATCTTCATTTTCTTAATGCTGAGTTTCAAGCCAAAATTTTGTGCTCTCCTCCTTCACCCACATCAAGAGGCTCTTTAGTTCCTCTTCAGTTTCTGCCATTAGAGTGGTATCATCTGCATAACTGAGGTTGTTGATATTTCTCCCAGCAATCTTAATTCCAACTGGTGATTCATCTAGCCCTGCCTTTCTCATGATGTGCTCTGCATATAAGTTAAATAGGCAGGGTGACAGTATGCAGCCTTGCTGAACTCCTTGCTCAATTTTGAACCAATCAGTGGTTCTGTGTCCAGTTCTCACTGTTGTTTCTTGACCCGCATATAGGTTTCTCAAGAGACAAATAAGATGGTCTGGTACTCCCATCTCTTTAAGAACTTGCCACAGTTTGTTGTGATCCACACAGTCAAAGGCTTTAGCATAGTCAATGAAGCAGAAGTAGATGTTTTTCTGGAACTCCCTAGCTTTCTCCATGATCCAGTGTATGTTGGCAATTTGATCTCTAGTTCCTCTTCCTCTTTGAAATCCTGCCTGTACTTCTGGAAGTTCTCGGTCCACATACTGCTGGAGCCTAGCTTGTAGGATTTTGAGCATAACTTTGCTAGCATGTGAAATGAGTGCAATGGTGCGGTAGTTTGAACATTCTTTGGCATTGCCCTTCTTTGGGATCGGAATGTAAACTGACTTTTTCCAATCCTGTGGCCACTGTTGAGTTTTCCAAATTTGCTGGCATATTGAGTGTAGCACTTTTACTGCATCGTCTTTTAAGATTTTGAATAGCTCAGCTGGAATACTGTCACCTCCACTAGCTTTGTTGTTGCTCAGACTTCCTAAGGCCCATTTGACTTCACATTCCAGGATGTCAGGCTCAAGGTCAGTGACCACCCCATCGTGGTTATCAGGGGCGTTAAGTTCTTTCTTGTGTAGTTCCTCTGTGTAAACTTGCCACCTCTTATTAATCTCTTCTGCCTCTGTTAGGTCCCTGCCATTTTGGTCCTTTATCATGCCCATCTTTGCATGAAATGTTTCCTTCGTATCTTCAATTTTCTTGAAGAGATCTCTGGTCCTACCTATTCTATTGTTTTCTTCTATTTCTTTGCACTGTTCATTTAAGAAGGCATTCTTATCTCTTCTAGCTATTCTCTGGAATTCTGCATTCAATTGGGTGTATCTTTCTCTTTCTCCCTTGCCTATCGCTTCCCTTCTTTCCTCAACTATTTGTAAAGCTTCTACAGACAGCCATTTTGCTTTCTTGCATTTCTTTTTCTTTGGGATGGTTTTAGTTGCTGCCTCTTGTACCATGTTGCGAACCTCCGTCTATAGTTCTTCAGGCACTCTGTCTATCATATCTAATTCCTTAAATCTAGTTGTCACCTCTACTGTATATTCATCAGGGATATGATTTAGGTCATACCTGATTGGCCTGGTGCTTTCCCCTACTTTATTCAATTTAAGCCTAAATTTTGCAATGAGCAGCTCATGATCTGAGCCACAGTCAGCTCCTGGTCTTGTTTTTACTGACTGTATAGAGCTTCTCCATCTTTGGCTGCAGAGCACATAATCAATCTGATTTCTTTGTTGACCGTCTGATGATGTCCATGTGTAGAGTTGTCTCTTGG